GAATAAGGAGCACTACATGGACACACAGTATCCTAGGAAAGATCTGAATACTGTAGGTTCCACCACAAGAATGTTGTATTGTATTCTGGAAAAAAGAAGAGATGTGTCAGAGGGTATTCAGTTTATACAGATTATAGACATATTTTCTCTTAACATATCAGAAATGTGACATAACAACTGACCTGTTGACAGAAGATTTATCCTAACTTAGTCAAAACTTCACAAATTCTAAGCTCTAGAAAACTAACACATATGAATATCATTCCAATGAGGCAAATCCCAAAAATCTCTGTTCCTCTTTTGTCTGTAACATTTCTCAAATTGTCTTTAAGTTTGTACTAAGGCTTACAATGGATGACAATAATGTGGATGTATACTATACTAAGCTCTGAATTCTGGAAACACTACCTTTGACTAGTAAATGCTATCATTTTAATAACTGAGTCTCTAAGTTATACACTACTGCAGAGATATTTTCAGATATGCTAAAAACTCTGAAACTTGAAATTATGAAATATAGGAAAGCTTTAGAATAAAGATAATCCAACTTTGGAAGTGTAGAAGGATCTACTTTGGTTCTAGTGAATGCACATCAGAAAGCAAAAGTTACAAACCAGGAATATGAGTGAGGTTCTTAACACAGTTTGAGGTAGCATCAGAGAAGACTTACTGGAGAAGGAAAAAACCTGAGATACTTCATGTTAGCTAGAGGAAGGTAAAATGAGAACTCTAGGTATAAGGCCATCATAAGCAAAAATATGCCAAGGTAAGAAAGAGTATGGCATATACTGATGAACAGAAGAACCGTGTTGCTGGACCGTAAAATGTCGATAGACATGGCTGGAAAGAAGACAAGGGCCAGATCAAGGAGATTCATATATGCATTATTAAAATGCTCACACTTGGTGCTAGCAGTACCTGAGATTCAATAAATGGGTTTACACTGAGGAGCAGCATAGTCAGTTTTAGGCTGCAGGTTTATCAATCACATAGCCAACTTTGTTGATGAAGGATTTAAAGCCCATGAAGTTACAGAGAAACAAAGTAAATTAGGTAATGTAGTAAAGTGGAAGATGAGCAGGACGTGAATTACAGCAAAGAGTTACAGACACACAGAGGAAAATCATACGTGTCAAATATTTAAAAGGCAAAAGAAGAGAGATTTGGTAATTAGTTGAAAGCAGAGGACAACCTCAAGTACTGCCAACACTGGAAGAGGAAAACTCAGGAAAGAAACTTTAAAGGAGATGATGCTGAATTCTATCTGGGATTTTTAAATTGAGGTACTGTGGGACATCCAGGTACAGATATTCAGCAAATTGTTGGACACACTGGTCTGAAACTCAGAAAGTATATCTAGAGATATAAATTGGGGATCCAGCAGCACTTAGGTTATAACTAAAATTGAAGTGATATGAATAAAGAGCATACAGGTAGAGAATGTTCAATTAAAACAGTGGTAGCCAAGGATGAAACCAAGAAGAACACTAACATTTAAAGAGTACGTTAAAAAAAGAAAAGAAAAACTTGAAAGAAGAAAGAAAAAGATTGGTCAGAAGAAAATTAAGAGAGATATGTCATGGAAGTCAAGAAAGAGAATTTCAAAGAAAAAATTATCAGAACAAAATGCAAAACCCAGACTCGAGATGGTCACTAAAAAATGGCCATTAGATTTGACAATCTAGAGGTCATTCATGATCTAAGCAAGATCTACCTCATTATATGCAATATAAAGCAAACTGCTATACAATGGGAGGAATCTGAGAAGAAGTAGGGATAGGATACATCACTACTCCTTCAAGAGGTTCGCATGAAGAGCAAAAAGAGACTGGACCATACTTCCTAAGTAATGCTGGGTCTAGGGAGAATTAGGAAAAGGATAAGTATTTCCGGTTCTACCACCACTAGAAATTAAAGTTCTGCTACTAATTCCAAAATAAAAGAGTCTGGTTCACATACAAAATGTAAGCACTGCATGGCACCCACCAAAAGTTAAGAATTCCAACTGTAATGTATTTACTGAAGCTAATTATGTACTTGCTGTACTCAACAAAAACAACAAAATTAAACTGTGCCATGGATTGATCTCTAATAAGAAAAAATAAATGATGATAATACATAAAGTGACAAGGTCATGGCTCTGACACTTAGTAGCTGTATGATCTTGGGCAAGTTACTGAGTCCTTTTCTTCTAAATTTCCTTATCTATAAAATGAGGATAATAATAGTACTTATCTCAGGTTTTATGAGAATTAAGCAAGAGTGCATGCAAAATGCTTAACACAATGATGCTTTAAGAGGTGGACCTCAAATTTGTCTTTACTGAGGACAACAGACAAAAATTATATAATGCTTAAAGAACTTCACTTTTTAAAAGGCATGTTTGGTTATGCATTTATGACAAGTTCTCATGGCATCTTGATTTACAGGTTCATAATCAGCTTCATTAAATAGGTCACAATTAGTCTCATAGGAAAAAAATAAACACTGTTCATGAACATCTTAACAATATATATGCATATTATCTTACAGTCAGTAAAAGGAAAACCAGATAGTACTCAATTGTAATTTCAATTCACAAGAATCCTTCTCTTCAATGGCATAGAGGTACATCTCTCATTAATTTCTGTAACAAAGTATACACTGCAGAGACTTGTTCATCTTTGTGTCAAAAATGAATTAAACATAACTCTGAATAGTAATAAGGGCTGTAATGTTGTCACCCTTTTTAATTTACATGTGCAGTAGTCTTTAATGATACAGTATATAACTCTTCCAGCCAATCCAAAGAGACAAAAAGATTCAATTATTCTCCAGATCTATAAGCAGTTACATATTTTGCTTATCTATCATAATTTTATTACTGCTGGAACAGATAAAAAGTCAGCATACAATAAAAGATCTTATGATCAATAATCAACACATCCAAGGATCTGAGAGAAATGCATAAAAATACATTAAATTTCATAATACATAGCCTCATTACTGCTAAGAAGAATGCTGCCACCTTTTATGCAAAACTCAAAATCTTTCTTATGATAAAACAAGAAGTAAAAACAGTGAAGCTTTATATCAAAATAATGAAAATATAGATCTATAATTAAAATGTCAGTAAATGATTTGAATTGACATAATTTTTAAAAAACATCAAGTATGCAGGTTGGTAGTTATAGTAAGTATACATGGTGGCCAAATTTACATTCAGAAATCTCACATATAGAGCTTTAATTTAGTGGCATAGTTCCTAGCAAAAGGTCTTAAGACTTTTTTCACAAATAAGTCTATTCAGCAAAAACATTATTTCTTAGAAAAATTAACTCAAAACACTCTTACTGCACATCCTCATTGTCTTTTTCCTCTACACTTTAGGTACAATAGTCCCTAGATTGCCAAAATCACCAGGAAGCACAGAAATGAGATTTATGTCTTTGAAAATATTTGACAGACAGAAAGCAGTTAAAACTAGGATATTTGGCTTTTGATGTTAAAAAAATTAAATCTATGTGTAACATCACAGTAAGAGAGATGAAACCACTTTTCCTCTGTTTAGTAAATTCTCACTATATAAAACTCAAGCAACAATAAAAAAAATCCTAGCCCCTTCCCCATGCCCAGAGTACTGTATAATAAGTGAAGATCACAATATTGGTGCTGAAACAGTGATAAAATAAAGTGCCATGTTAAAGATTAAACAGCATTCTCATGAAAAACACACATAAAACCCATTTCTCATAATTGTGTTACATTATATACCAAGTTGGTAGTTATTTCAGGTATTGTAAATAGTACTTCTCAATTAATAAAAAGTTAATAAACCAAAAAAATTTTTTTCAATTGTTTTTAATTACCCAGAATAAGCCAAAATGCATAATGCTGTGTGATGAATTACAGTTAAGGTGGTATTTATGTGGTGCACTGAAGGGCAAAGCAGTAGGGTAAAGATGATGTCTTTGTTGTCCTTCCCAAAATAATTTTGCTGGCATTGGAACAGTCAACACAAAGGAATGAAGGAGTTACTCGCAGGTCTGGACTGAGCACCCTATTTGTACCAATCACTGTCTAGCTACCACTGCTCCTTTTGTGGCAGAGTTAGACCCTTACAAAGAAGTGATTCTTTAGTTGAACCAGCAACAACCTAGACTCAACATGTATTGGGAAACAATTTATAAATAACTTGAATAAATTTAAGTCCTGGCAGCAGTCAATGAAAATTATGACTAATTAATCATTGGTATATAAATACATTACAGGCATTGCATTTGAACACCACAAAATGTGTACATTGCTGTATTCACTTTTTTTTCCTCTTAAGATGATGCTGAGCTAAATGTCTGAAACAATGCAGATACCTAAAATTTAAACTTCTGTGCGGATAATACATACCCCATCTTTTACTATAGTTAGCAAAAGATGATTATAAGGTGAAAAATCCATTATGAAAACTAAATCTGGGCACTTCCCTTAGGTTCCTTTTATTTTTTTTTTACTGGAGTCAATCAAGAAGCATTTGTTTCACACCTCTACTGACAGTGTCCTAAAGGGGCAACCTGCCGAGACCCAAGTCCATTTTGTAACTGGAGCCTATTATCCCCTCCCCCTACTCCAAGACAGGTTTCCTGGCTGGATGCCTAGAAGTACATCCCCAAACTGAAGAGTAACAAATCAAGCAGAAGAAACCAACAACAAATACATTAAATCACCGAGTCCAATGACCCTCAAGGGCTAGCAGTACCCTGCCTCATGCGAAATAGGGTCCCGCTGAGGAAAATACGAGGGCGGTGAAGTGTGATCAGAGGGAAGCAGCCAGATCAGCCAGGTGAGGTTGAGGTGGGGTCAGAAGAAATGCGGGAGCAGAGGAGTGACGCAGCGACAGCGGTCACCTGTGGGGCCACTCGAACCAGCTCCGCCACAGGGACAGCAGCAAGAATCGCAGCCGAAAGCCCCCCAAAGACGCCGGGGAACCAGAGAGCTGGGCCCTTTCAGCCCGGCCTGGAACTCACCATCCACGGTTTTCTTCTTGAAGAGGGACGCCATGGTCAGGGACCGCGCCCTGGCGGCCCGGCTCGGCCCGGTCCGGCCCGAGACAGGGAAAGGACAGGAGGAAAAGGACAGGCCCTTGGCGAGTTCGGGGTGGCGGAGCGAAGGGCCAGGGGGCGGAGGGCAGGGTCGCCAAGCAGGACCCGGCGAAGGGGCGTATCCGCGAGGCTACCGCAGCCGCGTCGCCGGGAGCTCAGGTGACTAGGAACTAAGACACTTTTTGGAGAAGTCACTTCTGGGCGGCGCCTGCGCATTCGGAGCGCGCGCCTGCGCACTGCGACGCCTGAAGCCGCTGCCACTTCCCTCGCCTCCGCGGCTGCCCGGTCTTCCCGCTTACGGGGTCGCCGCGGGGCGAGGCCGGGGCTTGTACGGGCGGGAGAGCGCGGGACACGGCGAGCGGTGGCAGGGGCCTCTCCGTTCAGGTCCTCTGCAGACTGAGAACAGAGATCAGCCTTGCTTGGTGCTTTCCTCCTTGCCCCGGGAGAAGCTGGAATGAGGGGTACCCCGGGGACAGCAGAACAAGCGGGGGTCGTCCCGGAACCGCCTGGACCCGCTCCGCGTTGCTTTTTCACCGTCCCGTTGCTGTCAGTATTATTTTCTTGCGTGCCTAAGAGCAGGGGCAGGTAGTAACGCTGAGTTCCTAGAAGTCGTGCTCTTTTCGGCACCGACTCGCCGGGCGGTGCCCGCGGGACCGAGGCGCTCGCTCTCCCGCCACCCTCGGCCGCCGACTGCGACGACCCGGCGCGGGTTTCCGGGAGTGCGGGGTCTGGAGTTGGGGGTGGCGCGAGGAGGAAGGGAATGGGAGCAAGTTTCTTCATGGAACACTTTAATGTTCTTGGCCGGAAACATTAAGAAAATAAAAAATCCACACGTTTGTAAACCGGTTTGCGTGTCTCCAACTCTCTTGATTTCTTGTAAATCATGACTCAGAAAAATGTTAAGGTTATACCGTGACCCTATTAGAATTCTGCATGGCTGTATATTGGTGTTTGATGGCGGAGGAGCAGGGGGGAAACAACTCCATATCATATTAAAGGAATACTGTAATGAATCATTTAAAGAATCCTTGCATGTAGGACTATAAATATGGAAATCATGTATGTGTACATGTAAACACACATATCTCTGTTGAATGTATTATTTTGTTATTTAGAATCTGAATTTAGCATTGAACTTTTCCTCCCAGTCCACTGCTGCTTTGAACAACACTGCCTTCCACAGGATAAAAATAATAGTAGTATTTTATTTTGTAGATGTCATTTCTGATACGGAATACACTCCAATAATCGTGTCAATATTGTTAATCACTTCTGAATTTATGAATTATGTCTCAAGAATTTTTACATATTTGGGTCGATCATACTTGCCTTCCCCATTTTTTCACCTCCTAAGATATCAAAGCTCTCATAGCCACTGGTGAGGCGGCTGCGGCTAAAATTTAGCTAAGAATCTGTTCAAGAAAACTTTCTCAGAATGACAAAGTAATATGCAAGGTATAATTGTTTTGCTCCTCCTCAAGTTATTTTAGATATTTTGGGAAAGTGAAGTAAGGAAACATCAGGAAAAAATGTGAAGAGACAGAATCCCTGCATCCAAAACCTGTCCTTTGCTGGAATAATCTCTATGGCAGTTGGCCCTGGCTGCCTGTTGTAATGAATAGCATAGATCTGTGCTTGAATGCATGAGAGGCAATAAGCTGTTATGTGTGTAGTAATCGTACTCCTCCCTGCTGCAGTCACCCTTATTTTATTACTCCTATACAATCCCCCCCACTGACCCAATTGTAACAGTTGGGAAAATGCCAAAATACTTAGCAGCAACCATATGGAAGACCCTCCAAAAGTGCACAGCAGGAGCTAAAGACAGGGCTTGTTCATTACAATAAAGACAAAATAGAAACATGTACTATTTAAATTCAACACTCTAAAAGCTTGATTCTCCCATAGTATGAAGCAGGCTGATACTCAGCTGATATGCACCAGTCTAGCTGGTATCCATTTGGATTAGTTGGTGGCCACATTGTATCCATACATATTTTATATATCACTCTTTATTTGAAGGGTATGATATATTTAAATATAGCTGAGATTTGGAGCTCCAAGAAACTGTAAAATGGAATGTGATAGTATTCTTCACTGGTTTAAAACCACTATCGTCATATACAAACTCAATCACCAAGACACATATGTAAGCATGGAGATAAAAAAAAAAACATTAAAATTGTATTCTTATTAATATCCTATGGTCACATCATTATGACCCAATACTCTTCCTCCAAATTGCTCAGTGGAAAATAGTTATTACATGGCTAAAGACACATACCATTCTGTGTACTGAGGATATACCAGTGAAGAAACAAACATAATTTCTCTTTCTTTTTCTCTTACCTACCTTCCTACTAGTATCTTCTCCTTTTCTCACTCATCTGTCACAGAGAAGTATGCTTTGTCTCATTGCATAAGTAAGTGTAAGAAAAGAACTCTTAAAAGCAGAGCTATTCTAAAATGATATGGGTGCTATGTGAGGTAGTAAGTGTTTTGTCACTGAAGTATTCAAGAAAGAGCAAGTTGTTGTAGACAGGATTCCTTTAAAAAATCAAAGCTTTGATTAGAATATTTCTATGGTTTCTTTAAAATCTGAAATTATACTATGGATAAAATGCAGTTTAGGCCAAATACTTTGGTGTGTGGTATTTCACACCCTATATGTTAAATCACCAAATCTTGCTGCCTTTACCTTTAAAAATATGGTAAAGCCAAAAAGATACAGCATTTCACCATTTTGAATCATCCTAATTCAGGTAAACTTCCTCTCTGTTCTGCATCATTACCACCTATCTTGTTTTCCTGCTTCCATCCTATCTCCCTTGCTCTTGTCTCAATATAACAGACAGCAATTCTGTCAAAATATGAATCAGATTGTGTTGTTCCGTTTCTCAAAAAGATATCAACATATTCTCAATATTTATGTCTGGAACACACACATATATCTGTTCTACATATTAAAATTTTCTTATTCATTAAATCTCCAAATTTTTTCCATCCAGATTGCTCTCCTGATTATTTCCCTTCATTATGTGCCAGCCAGGTGAAACATAATTGTTTAGATGTGATCTTGGAATTATGTAATATATTACCTCTCTTGTCTTGTACACTGCGTTTCTGATAACATATTCTGCAATTGTATAAGAAGATTTGATGATAGTGATCTTTGAATCACATTAAAATTTTAATTCAGCAAAACTTTTAGCACTTTTTAAAACATAAATTCCTACTCAGTCCTCCCATTCTATACTTGATTAATGGATAATTTTAACTGAAATGCAGAATTTTTTGTGCATCATCTAAAGACATTCATTCATCTTTGTATTGATTCACTTATAAACACTTTTGAGGGATTATAACTATCTATGAATTCATTCATAGTAAGTCATCAAGATCTTAACTTTCATTTCTAAAACCATTTTGAAGACTTTTAAAATCTTTAATAAGAAAAAGACTTGCTGATATCAAGGTATAATAAGCCTATGTTATATTCATATTCTATCAGTTATAGCAACAATAAAGATAAAAAATGAGTTGAGTTTGGTATAATTCATTCTTGGTGGAACAGTAGTCACTCCACATGATCAACATTTCCTTTCCCAAGTATTAATAAAATATTATTTAATCATCTATTTAAAGTTGCTTTCTGGAGACTTTCATAACATAGTTTCCTCCTCTTTGAAAACTGAAATATTTGCCGTTTTTTATTATTTTGATACCTTGGGTTATAATGTGAATGGATGCACTCTTCCGCTCTTTAGACTTTTGAAAGAAGTGACATCACATGGGAGAGCACTGATTCTGGACACCGATTTCTGGGGTCTGTAACCACTTCTGTGATATTATAGCTCTTAGAATTGGGCCAAGTCACTGAAGTTGTCCATCTTCATTTCTTCATATGTATGATAGGGATAATAATAGTACTACCTTTCATATGGCTGTGGCAGGGATTAAATAAGTTGATAGATGTAATACACAAAGTAGTGCCTAACACATAATGTCTTATTTCATTTGAGCTGCTATAACAAAATATTACAGACTGGGTAACTTGTAAACAGCAGAAATTTATTTCTCACAGTTGTAGAGGCTAGGAAGTCTAAGATTAAGGCATCTACAGGTTTTGTGTCTGGTGAGGGCTGCTCTCTCCTTATAAGATGGTGCCTTGTTGTTGCATCACTCAGAACGGAGGAGTGCTGTGTTCTCTCATAGTGGAAGGGACAGAAGGGCAAAAGGGAGGGAGGCAGCTCCCTCACACCTGTTTTACAAGGGTGCTAATCCCACTCCTGAGGACTCCACTGTCATGACTTAATCAGATTCCAAAGGTCCCACCTTGGAATACTATCACATTGGTGATTAATTTCAACAAATAAATTTTGGGGGGCACATTCAGTCCATAGCACCTAAGTACCTCTAAAAAGGCATTAGCTGTCTATATTATTGTTCCTAGCTCTCTCTCATTCTCTCCTCTCTCTCTTTCTCTTACTCTCTCTCTCTCTCTCTCTCTCTCTCTCTCTCTCTCTCTCTCTCTCTCTGTTTTTAACATATTTCCTCCAAATATATATATATTTACACACACACACACACACACACACACACACACACACACACTTAGCTGGGCATGGTGGTGTATGCCTGTAGTCCCAGCTACTCGGGAGGCTTGCTGTGAGCTAGGCTGATGTCATGGCACTTTAGCCTGGGCAACAGAGTGAGATTTTATCTCAAAAAAAAAAAGATAATCTCTATCTTCAT